TTTAGAAGTGATCTATCCGCCCATATCCGAAGTTTATTCTGAGTGTCTGTTCACACTTATCCATCTTAGTATCTGCGGGAACCAGCCCCGGTTTTGAAACGAACCTTTTAGATTTTCTTGATCTTATACATATGTATATTTAGGCAGTGTTGTTATAAGTTTTTCTTTCTCCGAAATAGTTGCACCTTTTCACTTATTTGTAAACTCTGCATTTATGTCTATCAAAATTTTATTTTTGATGTAGAAATGCATCTGTATGCTCCAGGAACGCTTTTGCGTCAAAAATAAGATTTTGAAAAAATTTTCGCTTACTACGTCTTTTTGGCGGTTAGGGCTGAATATTTAACCGTAAATAATTTGTTTATATTTTCAGATTTAACTATGTCCCCATTACAGCATTATATTGTGGCACTGTTAGTACTTGGTGAGTAATTTATCTAATCGTTATACAATAGATTCGTAATATGAAAATCATTCGCAATTCGCAGTTCCCTCGATCATCCCAGCCGATACATTTTTCGCTGTGGCAGGCCGAAAAGTGAAGCGAACGGGGACTTACTTGAATGTACCACCGCCGCCACAACCGCAACCACAGCCGTCGCCCAGCGCAGCTGCGGCACACCACGTGGAACAGGAACCCTATCCTTATGAAGATGTCAACGAACATGACTTTCACTCTCAACCAGACATAGCGCGCTACGAAACTGATTTTACGCCCACACAAACGCAAACCCACGCACATACCCATTCGCATGCTCATGCTACCGCTTCTGGAGGCAAATACCTCATCGACAATGGATTGCGTAGCATTGCCAAAGGTTCGGCAGACCAAGCGAATTCTGCAGTCGCCAGCCAAAATGCTGCAGGCAAGCAAGCTGCTTACGTGGCAAAAAGTACGCTTGCACAAGCAGCGGCTCAAGCCGCTGGCACCGCAGTGGCCGTACTGAAAGGCAAGGAGGTGCTTCTGCGACGGCTCGAAGAGCAAAACATAGATGAACACAAGTCATTGGAAGGTGAAATAACGCAGCTGCAGCAGGCGAAACGCTCCGCCAAGACGGCACAATATGCCGCACAACAGTCCATAAATCATGTATCTGTGCTGACAGCGGCCCTCAACAATGCACAATCCGCCTCGGAGTTGACACAGAGAGCAGCATCAGAGGCGGCCGCAGAGTTGGCTTCACAAATCGATATGGTTTCGCAAGCCAAGGCGAAGCTAGAGCAAGTAGAGTCGCAGCTCTACACAGCTCGTTTGGATTATGAGGAGACGAAGGAGGCGGCTGAAAAGGCAACACTGTCGGCACAGGAGGCGCAGATCAACGCCAACGATGCTGCAGTACATGCGAATGTTGGGCTGAGTGAGGCGGTGCATGCGGGAGCGCATGACAAGAGCGATCACGTTGCGGCGACGGTAATCGGCTCAAATACCGCCACTGACCAAACGCAAAGCTACGGGCGTAAAAAGAAGTGATTAAATTGAGTGGAGAATGGAGAATTGTTTTTGAGAGATGCTAAGTTTTTGTTTTAAGGTTTTTCTATCTATTTATTAATCCTGAGAATATCATTAAAAACTGCTGATGAATAAAATTTGTTTTAAACATTTTTTTAAGAAGTCTTTACTCTCTTTTTACTATTTTTACCGACGAGAGGGGGAGGCACGACGCTAATGCGATTTTGAAAAAGTATAGGTATGATTATTTGGAATGACCCAATCACTGGCTGTTCACAGAAGTCATGCAGGGAGGGTTGCCCACCAAAGCACCCTTCTTTGCTCTGATGTTGAGGAAGTAAGAAAAAATTTGTCTTTTGTCTGCGGTGTAAACATCTTAGCTCTCGGTATGGGTAAAGTTTGCCTAGGACCCAGCAGAAAATTTGTAATTACTTCTTGTGTGTGCAAATACACATTTTTGTGGTATAGTTCAGCGCTATTTCGGCCCTAGTTCACTACTAGTTCGGGACCTGTTCAGCACTATTTTAGGCTCATTTGGGAGCCATTTCGGTACGAGATCTGGACCATTTGAGACTGATTTAGGACTATTTAAGTATTATTTCGGGTACATTTCCAGACTAATTTAGGACCATTTCGCATTTTACGTATATGCACCATTAACGTGAAATTCTCAGCGTACAAATAATCGTTCGTATCGATACAAAAGTGTTGCGTGTATATGTACGTACATTAGGGTGGTCATTAAATGTAAGAAGCAAATTTTGACATCATATTTCCCAAGCCTCAACCCGTACTTGATGCTACTATAGTGGAAGATATCACATATAAATTTTGGTCCCGATGGGAGATGGTTAAGGCGTGTCGCACATGGGGGCAAAGTGCAGATTTAATTTTTAATTTTTTGAGTTTCCATAGTCACCTGACCTTTGACCCCTTTACTATACGCCTTAACCGACTCCAATCGGGACCAAAATGTATATGTGATATCTGTGACCGTGGTATTACCGATTGAGGGGGTGAGAGTCAAATACAAGGTGCTTGTATCAAAAGTAACGAGTACATTAACGATACGAAAGTAACGGGTGTTGATTGGATTAGGAACATATCGCAATTATTTTGGGATCATGTTGGGACTAGTACAGGACCGTTTCAATACTTGTTTGCGATCCTTTCGGAACAAGTTACGACTTTTAAGGACAATTTTGCGGCTATTTCGGAACTTCTTAAAAAACGATCCTTAAATAGTTCGAAACTATTCACGAAGTGGTTATAAAAAAAAGTCATGTACTACCCGAATAAAGAGAAATGAAATTAATGTTTAACTTCTAAACCAACCTATATACCTATGTATATTAGACTGCATCAACAAAAAAAAGTTGCGGTTTTTTCGCCGGGATTACAAAATTTATTATATTTTAAGATGTCCACCAAAATATTTCGGAAAAATATTAAGATTTAAGCGAGCTGGACCGATTTGAAAATACCTCCAAAAAAGAAGTTTTTTATGAATAAAAATAGTCTCTTAAAGAACTTTTTGAAAGAAGTCCCCTCAGATGACAAAATAGATTAAGCTTAAAAAATCTGCACAAAAATATTTAAAAATATTTTCAACGGAATCGTAAGAATGAGACTTTTGATGCTGTTTTTTTACTTTTTTCAAAGATTAGTTTCCGAAAAACTTGAATAACTGAGCCAAAAATGTTCTGATTTAGACTTACGGCATCTCAGTAGAAGGGTATTTTCACACTGTTTTTATTTCTGGTCCAAAAACGTCATTCGTGTCCAATCTTGTTTTTTCGAATACCAACACATCTTAATTCAACTTTGAATGACGTTAGTTCATCCTACCTTTCTCTTCCATCCTTTGAATCAGTTTATAAGTAAAGAAATAAAATGGTGAGAAAATACCTATCCAATGATATCTCACAAGTCTAAATCGGGAGAGTTTAGTTTCAGTTACTCAAGTTTTTCCTATACCAATCTTTAAAAAAAGTTAAAAAAAAAACAGCATAAAAAATCCCATCATTACGATTCCGTTCGAATTTTTTTTATTATTTTTATGCAAATATTTTAAGCTTAAACCGTTTTGTCATTTGAGGGGATTTAAAAAAAAAAAAATCTTTAAAAAACTATTTTTATTCATACAAAACTCCATTTTTGGAGGTATTTTCAAATCGGTCCAGCTCACTTAAATCTTAATATTTGTCCGAAATATTTTGGTGGACGTCTTAAAATATAATAGATTTAATAATTCCAATGGAAAAATAGTACAGATTTTTTTTTTGTATGGGGGTGATGCAGTCTAATGTATATATATAAGCGGTACACAGATGTTTACACATAAGACTTCATTAGTACCTGGTACTCACGTCTTTTTTGAGTATTTTGTAGGTCCAGACAAATAACACAGGCCCGCGAAATTCAACTTTCTCCCCATCCAACAGTAAGTAATTTTTTTAACAATTTCTATGAAAAGCCAAAAATAATTAACAGATTATGTATATTCAACAATTTTTATAGAGCTTGAGGCCGTTTTTAATGAAAAACTTATTGGGGGAAAGCAACAATAATTTGAAAAAATAGTAGAAGTGATCGCTATTTCGGAAATCACCACATTTCCTCATCAGACTTATTTCAGTAGGATTCGAACCGACGATCCCACTGACTCAGCCAGTTGCCTACGCACTGTGCTAAGTTCGCCTTGTGAATTCTTGTTGCTTTTTTTTCCACATGTACGTATTTCATTTGTTAAGCCAACTACCAACAAGCGCAGCTGTTCCAGTGCTATTTAAACTTGATCATGTGGTTGTTGGTTATTAACAGATAATTAAATTTTTATTAAAAAAAAAGTTCTGTTAAAATAAACTCAATGATTAAGTAAATCCAAAAGACTTATGGAAATTCGAAGTTAACGCTAATAATAGACGGTAACATTAAGAAAAACTAAAAAAACAGTAATTTCCTCGGAGAAGTGATGGAATCTCTTTATTATTTTTTTCGTAGCTTAGTACCTAATAACTACCCTACCCTACCTACCTATTTCTGAATAGGCTATTAAGTGGGAAACCATCGTATGTCTGTGTAGCTTCTTTGCGGTACAACTAAACTTAACAAAAGATGTAATCTCTAGCTTTTAAATAAAATACTTAAAACGGAACTGTTGTTGGATTCTTTACTATTACCGAAATATTTTTCTTTGACATTTAGGCATGTTTTCTGCAACTCAATTTAACTTAGTTTAGCCAAGTTTTTGGACTTAGGGCCGGTTGTTCAATGTCTGATTAGCACTAATCGGCGGTAGAAGCAACGATTAATTAAACGACTGCTTTATCGATCACATGTTATATGTATGATGTCGAAAACGTCGATAATGATGTTTAACCGGTAAGTAGTGATAACCAGACATTGAACAACCGGCCCTTAGTCAAGAATAAGCCGAATAAAAAGTAGGCTAGCTGTTGACTTAAGTCCAACAAATGGCTAAACTAAGTTAAGCCTTAACATTTAAGCTTAGTTTCCTGCTCTTAAGAAAACGGTAAAAAAAGTTGCCGTTATTTCGTATGTGTGACCTCTGCTACCACCAGCGGGTTCCGAGTTGAATACTTTCAGAGCTGGAGCGTCAGTGTCCATTTCGTACTGCCTTAAGGAAGAAAATTTCCCAGCCATTTATAATATTTCGTTTTCATTTTATATGTAGTTTTCACTTTTCTGGAGAGCTGGATACTAAGCTTTAAAAGTAATTTCATTCAAATGTTGGCCACAAATAGAACATAACGAGCGCCACCGCCCATGATAACGGACTTTTTGTTGCCTGAAATTGAAGCCCGTGATGTCGGCAAAAATTGGGTTTCAGCAAGTTATCGTGTGGTAACACACCTCTAGGTTTTTTCTTTAGGTTTATGTCAAGTTAAAAGTCTCCGTTGATAAGCCAGCTATGAAAGAGTAATTGAAAAATGGATCTTCCGAGTGGACCATCTACAGCGTAGTCGCGGCCAATAAGAGATTTTTCTTTCGGTCCAATATCCACTTCTGATTTAAGTGTTTAATTTAAAATATAAAAAGTCCTTGATGAAGCACCCTATATTAAAATTAAAAGAGAAAAAGATAAGTAATTTTTTTTAATTGCACTCACCATCCTTTACATTCCACGTACTTTTTAACCTGCTCTTCTAAACACAGAGATATTTAAGTTAACAACTTGTCTATGTTTTTTTTTTTTTTGAAATAGTATTTATAGGAATATTTTTTTTTTATTAAAAATCAATCATATTTAGTTATAATAAATAAATTATATTATACAATTGTACATTTACATGTCCATTTAACAAACTACTTCAAAACTTATATATATATATTTATTTTTAGCGTAATAGCAAACGTAAAATTACAAATTGTACTAAAACATAAACTTAAGGACTGATTTGGCGCAACCATTAACCCCCGACTAAATTTGTATATATCTGAATCTCGATAAAAGAAATGGTAAATGCGCACCAATGACTATTTAGGAAACACATACATACATGCATACATATGTACGTATATACATACAAACCTACTCGCTTGTATGAAATTAAAACATTTTATGTAGATTGGTTTTAAATGACAATCCAAGGCGAATACATATAAGGTGGTGTTGCTAGAACAGCTGTTTGATTCGCCTCGGTACACATATCGAGCCCTAACCGCCAAAATAACGTAAGCGACATTTTTTTCAAAATTTTCTTTTTGATGCAGAAATGTATCTAGATGCTCTAGGAATATTTCTGCATCTAAAAGAAAATTTTGAAAATATTTCGCTTACGTTATTTTGGCGGTTAGGGCTCGATATGTATGTCCCTATGAGTGAATGCGAAAAATAAGTGTGTTGGAGTGCTTCTTTCCCTCTTCCTCCTTAAGCGGAGAATAGCTGAAATTTGACATTTGTGTACCGAAAGTGAAAACAAAATACATGTTAGTTTTTGTTTTTGTACTACCGCTACCACCTTATATGAATTCGCCTTGCGACAATCCATACACGCAACTCTTACATTTGACGTGCAAATAAATTGCCTTCTTCGACATATCGCCTCGTTGTCTCATAATCCAACTGCACATGTAATATCTTAACCACATTTTCGAAAACTTAAACAATTAAAATCCCTGCGTAGCGCTGTTACGCG